TACACTGTTATCATATTCAGAATCCGGTATTTGTCTGTTAGCTCTCCTTGTTTAATGTAATTATTTGGGCGTCCCCAAACAAATTGTGAATTTCCTGTTAATTCTTTTCCTATCTTATGCAAATCAGGTAGTTTAGTGTACGGATATTGTGGGTTGGGTGGTCTTTGCATGGGGTTAAAGAAATTGGCTATAGTAGTCGGTGTAACATGAAAAACTTTATCCTGTACAAATACACGCAATTATTTTTTCTCTTTAATTTTAGCATTACTTTAAAATTCCCGAACTAAGCAGTCATAAGCAGGAACAGATAACCTAACATAATGTAACCATCCTCTTTCATGGAGAATTTTTCATATTTCTAGGTTCTCAAAATCTTCATATATTACTGTTCTTTCAGAAATAATAGTTTTAGTTAGAAAATTAACTTCATACCAGAGCTGTTGGTTCAAATTTTCAAACATCACCTCATTGAAGATACTTCCCAATTGAGATTGTTGTGGAGGTGCCTTAAGTTGCGGAATTCAATCCCTTCGTGCTTGGTTTGAAGACCTTCTTGTTTGTTGTCTTGAGTCCATATTTTTTTCTTGACTGGTTCCTGATTTGTAACTGCAGAATGCTGCTTCGATTTTCTGGAATTCTACTCTTGTTCCTGTATTTCCTGCATTTTACAAAATTAAATAGCCATTCTAAAAAACTGTTAACCACTCTTTTTTTTTTCTTGTAAAAAAATTGGTGGGTTTTTAAAGTTTATTTGTTGTTGAATATTTACTGATTTTCCTATTTCATCCTATAGTTATATACATTCACAAAATTATACATCTTATTGATCATATTTAGTCAGTATCAGAACTATCTGACACGGTTAACTTCACTTCTCACGTATCTTGTTCACATTGGGGTAGAATAGGATGACGCCTCAGGATAATCCTTACTCTGTCCATATCAATTCCACTGTAAACGATCAGACGCTTGTCCTGAAATTGGTTCTGCACACTTATTATATTGTCTCANTCTACCTTATGCAAATCAGGTAGTTCAGTGTACAGATATTGTGGTTTGGGTGGTCTTTGCATGGGTTAAAGAAATTGGCTATAGTAGTCGGTGTAACATGAAAAACTTTATCCTGTACAAATACACGCAATTATTTTTTCTCTTTAATTTTAGCATTACTTTAAAATTCCCGAACTAAGCAGTCATAAGCAGGAACAGATAACCTAACATAATGTAACCATCCTCTTTCATGGAGAATTTTTCATATTTCTAGGTTCTCAAAATCTTCATATATT